ACATCCATCCATTTTTCTATACACCGCTTAATCCTCACTAGGGTCGCGGGGGGGCTGGAGCCTATCCCAGCCGACTTAGGGCGAAGGCAGGGGACACCCTGGACAGGTCGCCAGTCCATCGCAGGGCCACACTTAGAGACAGACAACCAAGCACACTCACATTCACACCTACGGACAATTTAGAATCACCAATTAACCTCAACATGTTTTTGGACTGTGTGGGAGGAAGCCGGAGAACCCGGAGAGAACCCACGCTGCACGGGAAGAACATGCAAACTCCACACAGAAAGATTCCGGTGCCCCCACCGGGACGCGAACCGGCAACCTTCTTGCTGCGAGGCAACAGTGCTACCAACTGCGCCACCTTGCAGCCCGTGTTCAAAACAATTACACGAAAATAATTGCTGAACAATTTGGGGAAAAAATAACTACTTGCAATTTCCAGTAACTTTTGCAGTGTGATTTTATATGTGTTTATACTCCTGCAGTGGAATAGACTTTAAACATTTGGGAGAGCGTTAGCTTAGACATGCTGCAGAACAGACTGTTTATCCAACATCTCAGTCTGTATGATTTACTGGTTCACTATTTCAGCTATAATCTTCATCCCTAGTCACAAGTGTGGTGGTGGGCGACGTCCATGATGGACAGCAGTTTGCTAAGATGTGATGGAGTCCAGCTCTGCGCTGACCACAGAGCACCCTCATCCAGGTCACCAGGTGTGAGTCCACACTCATATCTGCCAGCTTGTCTCTCAGAAGAAGGGGCTGGATTGTATCAAAAACACGATCCACTCCTTTTGTCCAGATGAGAGAAGCCCTGTTTGTGGAGGATGGCACCGTCCACCCCACTGTGACACTCCTGGAAACACTGAGGCAGCTATTCTGTCCATACACATTTTAACTGTGTGTTCGCAGGACAGACGAACTTGTCTTATCCCATCTTCTACATCAGAGGGAGATTGTGTTTGTGTTTTGTATTTGTCTGACACCATCCATTGTTTCTGGTCTGCATCTTTACAGAAGGTAAATCATGTGTATGGTTCTGATAGAAACCCACCGCTGTGAGGCTTAAACGCAAAAATGACTGCAGGAGACGAGAAGCTCTAAAACGTCGGAACACAACTGAGAAATTCTGACTGCCGTCTCCTCCCAGCATGCTGAGAGATGTTAGTAAAGAAGTTGTGTCTGGACTGAGCCGTACAAACAGATACTGTGCTGCTGCCTCTTCCAGGCCTCCTCCTCGCCTCAGGGCAACCAACTGGCTGCCTGGCTGGTCGTCAGGTATCTGCGAGGCCTGTGCTGGCTGCAGTGCCGGCCATGTTTACCAGATGCACCGTTCCCTCAGGTGAGCGCACTACAGCTGGCAGCTCCAGGATCCAGCAAACCCAGTGGCACTCAGCCAGGAACACGCTGGATGATGCCGGAGAACTTTGCAGATGAACGTGTCTGCATGCGCTGTAGAGGCCCTCTGCTGACGAACAACGAGCTGAGATAAATACCTTCAGACACTATTCCCTGGGTTGGAGAAGCTGCAGTCATTCCAGTGGTGTGATCTTTTACATGTTGACTATCTTCAGACGGAGGGGTGTGTTATTCCCAGGGGAGCACATCTGACCCACTTCATCTGGACTGTTATGCACAGAACAGGTGTCGATACGCTGAAAAGAGAAAGTAACTGAGAAAGTGTTTTATCTGCTGGACGGACTGAGGAGGGCTGAAACTGCTCTCCACATCTGAATTAAATCTGAGCCAGTTTTTGTGATTGAACTCTGTCATGTTGTCTCTGAAACACCAACAGGACACAGCGGCTGCTTTAAAGCCTCAGCAGACGTGAGCTAATGTTCTGCTTTAACTGGCTCATGAAAAGATTCAACATAAGAATGAAATGACTCGGCTGACGAGGATATTAGAGAACCTGAAACATCTTGTGCTTCTCATGCCATCAGACTTCACTGTGGTCTGAAAACTGTTAAACATCTCTGACCAGTGAATCAGAGCTCTGTGGACACAGGATGGGGATTCGGGTTAGCTGACATGTTTACAATAATCCGTCATCATCAGATGTACCGTTTGCTTCTGTCTGCGTACTGCAGCGCTCTGACAGGTAAGGAAAGCCCTCCGCCGTGATGCAGTGGCTTTGTGGTGACTAGACGAGCTGCAGATGTGTTCATGAGGATGTGCACATTGACAGCAGGATGGTGAAGGTTCTGACCCGGATCCTGTGTTTTCTGGACTGTTGTTCTCTGGGACCTGGGCTCATGTTGTCACCCAGTTGTTAACTAATTATATGAAGTTGATGGTTAGATGGTTTACGGTTTAGAGCTGTATAGATTGCACTGAGCCCCCCATGAACCAGCTCCAACTCTGAACCCATTAGTCATAGAACTAAGTCCTGATGCTCCTATGGTACTGACAGAAGGCTGTGAGGAGATCTATGAACACAGATGTTTCCCTGGAATAACACATGTTCACAGTGTAGTCCTGCCACCTTCACCTGGGTCTGAAACCACCCTCCACTGGTTAAGATGCAGTAAAACCAGCTCCTACCTCTGACTGCTACCAGGGTTTATGTCATTTCTACAGCTGACATATGCAACGGCTGCACTTCTGTGAGGATTAAAAGGAAAGAAAAGGCTGTTCTCCTCAAAGCAACAGCGTCTCTTCTGTTTCTATGTTCCTTCTTTAATACATTCTGTTGACTGTACTGCTGGAAACGGGACCTCTCCAGGTTGTCTTCATAAGCAGCCACATTACCATAAACCCATTGCAGTGTAATCCTCCCTCTCCACTGCGCTGCCATCGTCTTCAGGATGAGAGGGACACCTCACCTATTTGAATAGAAATGATTGCTGAGTCTGTCTGCCGCACACAGCCAGCCACTCGGAGGTTAACCCTTCAGGCTGGGGATGGATCTCCTGAGACTCTCTTGAGCCCTGCTGAGCGAGGTTTTAATGTTTCTCCTGTCTAATGTAGAAGCTGTTCTCCTGGTTTGTGCTGTCTTTGTGTACAGTTATGTCTGGATGGACTGAATCCTCTGAAAGCCTCCATTTGTAGAAGGACTATATTCAGAAGGTTACTGGTTTGAGTCTAACGTAACATCTGAGCCTCGTTTTCATCCATGAGATTTAGCCTCATCGTCATCTTTATTAAGTAGTGTGTGTGTTTGTGTGTGTGTGTGTGTGTGCAATTGTCGTACTAATAATTTAGATTAATTTAAATTACTTTTTTTTTTTTTGCAAATACTGTTAATTATTCTTTTAAAAAACACATAAAATAACTTGAAGCATGTGTGTATTGACCTGAAATCTGAAATACTTTGAGTTTTGATGCTGTTTCTTCTGATTTCTGCTTTTCTACATGCATTTCTCTGTCATTATGAACAGGAAGAAAAATCTATAAAATATGTTGTCAAGGTACATTCTGAATCAGTAAACACACCATAAATGTCTGAATCAAATATAATATTGATATAATCCTAGATTATAGTTAATTACTCATCATTTTAAGGGTAAAACTTTAAACTATGGCAAATATCTGTAAATCCACAAGCCTTTCATTGATATATAACAAGGAAGTGAATCTTGTGACATTACTTTTTTTCTTTTTACAGTATATATTTTATTTTTCATTCTGTTGGCTGTTGGTTTACATTATTCACAATACAACCATACAGGTGTGTTTCCAGTTTAACAATCTGTGTAAAGCTTCTTGAATGCTCCACTAGAACCCGAGATGTGAGGAAATCCAGTGCGAAGGCCAGCTGATTGGTAGCGAAACCTTATTTTCTCAGTATTGATCTTGGGGGCAAGCCACGAAATGCAAAATCCTCAGCAAGATGGATCTGCTGTCATGTCTTACAGTAGAAATCAGGCAATCAATGTCACGTACCTCCACCAAGGCCTGTATAAACCTAATTCCACTCATCGGCGCTAAACAGTGGAAACCCCTGGGTTCATCAATCATCAATTCAAGGAGCATTCGTTCCTTAATCGTCTGGTCTGCAGCCACTGAGCGGCCACTGCCTCTATCAGGGAGAGCAGCAGATGTTCCCTGTGTTTGACAGAGGGAGGAGATGTCAGCGATGTTTTACTGTCATTTCTGGATTCTCCTTCTTGCTCAGATTGCTGCACTGTAATTTCCAATTTGGACCTGTCTGCTATCATGACTTGAAATTGAAGCTTGCAGCAAAAATGGATTATTTCTACCCCCAGGGAATGCAGGTGATTGGTCAATTTTGAGGAAAATGGCATACTTAAATATGAAGGTCAATATTTCCCGAATGATATAGATGACACAGATAAGTAATATCTCCTGACACATCAGTTCACCCGTCACAGGAGTACGTTTTCAGACTGGCAGGGCCTAGCCGGGCCGAGCCGAGCCAACCCGGGTCTTCAGGGCCTCAGACTGAGACTCAACCATCCATGATTTCAAATTCCACAGGATTCTGTGATACCGTGCACAGTGGGGTGGCTGAGGTGTCCACAGGGTTGGTGGTTCAACGCCCAGCCTGTCCACATGCTAACGTGTCCATGGGCAGGAACATGAGCCCCCAGTGGCTCCCTGTGGCTGCAGGTGTGAATGAGTGAATTAGGACACACTGTAGTCTGCTTTATAGCCTGGATAAGAGGTGCTTTAAGACCATTTAACTTCTGATGACACTCTGAAGGGGAACCAAGGCACTGGGGATGTGGATCACTGACCAGGGAGACAAACACATAGACTAGATTAGATATAACTGTAGCATAACAACAGCATGTCGGTCTTTTTAAAGGTAAACTCACGTTGTTGTAATGTCTTCCATATGAACATTGGTGAGTTCCTTGATATCACTTTTTAATTTTATTTTTTTGTAATTTTCAGGCATTTCATCTTTTCTGCTTCGTGCCAGTCGAGCCCTGAATTACCCCCTAACGGGTTAGGGTTAATGGCCTACGATGCATAATGACTTGAACGTATTACACACCAGCTGACAGATGTTCTCTGCTCTCTCTCCAGGTTACAAGTGTCCACGCTTCAAAGGCAGACATCGTCAAGTCAGGAAGCCCCAAATCGACGCTAAAGCACATATGGACAGAAAGCAGTAAGGAGATGTCCATCAGTAGGCTGCTGTCACAGACTCTGCATGGCAAAGAGAACAGCACAGCCTTGGACCTTCGCTATGACACTCCAGAGCCCTACTCAGAGCAGGACCTGTGGGAGTGGCTGAGGAACTCCACGGACCTGCAGGACTCGCGGCCGCGGGCTAAACGACGGCCCATGGTCAAGACGGGGAAGTTCAAGAAGATGTTTGGCTGGGGGGACTTCCACTCCAACATCAAGACGGTCAAACTCAACCTGCTGATCACTGGTAAGATTGTGGATCACGGCAACGGCACCTTCAGTGTTTACTTCCGCCACAACTCCACCGGGCAGGGCAACGTGTCTGTCAGCTTGGTGCCTCCAACCAAGATCGTAGAGTTCGATGTGGCGGCGCAGCAGTCCGTCATCGATGCCAAGGACTCCAAGTCCTTCAACTGCCGCATAGAGTACGAGAAGGTGGAGAAGGGGGCCAAGAACACTCTCTGCAACTTTGATCCATCCAAGACCTGCTACCAGGAGCAGACCCAGAGCCACGTCTCCTGGCTCTGCTCCAAACCTTTCAAAGTCATCTGCATCTTCATTTCCTTCTACAGCACCGACTACAAACTGGTGCAGAAAGTGTGCCCGGACTACAATTACCACAGTGATACGCCCTACTTCCCCTCTGGCTGATATGGCCGACACCTACTGACAGCACAGACTGGGTCTTCTACCCATCCCAGAGAAATGTGTATGTTAGCCGTACTGTTCCTTAACATGTCCATGCAGAGGATCAGCCATCCCAATGATTTACCTATTCAATGTTCTGAGTTTGCAGTGAGAGCAGATACTTTTAACTGTTACAAAACGTGGTATATAGAATCGTAGGATGCTTAAAATGACCTGAAAATCTCTGTGATTATTATGATTATTCTGAGTTAGACTTTTGTCATTGAACTATGTTTTGTCCCTGTTGACCCATGTCTAGACTGAGGGGGCTGACTGGTCCGTTGGGTTTGTACTCGTCACTATTAAAACCTTCCTTGTTTGCTTTACTTTCACTCCTCGTCCGACTAGGTGGTAATAACTTTCTTTTGGCATTTCATCTTTCATATACGACAACAACATATGGACAGTTGGCCCGCTGTGCTATTTACGCTCTCTTGTTCATCCTGCATAACTGGAAAACAGAATTATGTCCTCAAAAAAAGAAAAAAAGAAAATGTTTTTACACGACCTGCAAAGCAGCTAAAGAAGACAGAGAAGATTCACATGTGAGTTTGATGCTTTTAGAAGTGCGGGTGGTGGTCCCTACATAGGCCTGAGCTGGGCCTGAGCTGGGCCTGAGCAGGCTTCTCCCTTCAGTTGAGTGGGAAACGTGTCAGATCCTGAACGCTGTCAGTCCTCAGCTGTCGCCATGTTGTTGGTAGTGCAGCCAGACGCTGAGTCAGTCGGCCGATGGTCCTTCTGAGCTCCTGAATGCTGGATCCCTGATCAGTGGGTTGTTTGTGGGGGATGGGGCTTGCTCATTGTCACTTAATATATCAAATGTAATGTATTGAATTCTATATCTTAGAGCTTAATTTGTATGAATGGTTTGTATCGTACATAGTTTATCCCGATGACACTGCTTCTGTACATGCCCCCCATAAGCTGTGTGTTTACCCACCCTCCTGCTAAGTCTTCTTGTTCACTCCATTTATGCTCGTTCTTGGTTCCTCTAACAAAGAAAATGATGTTGCTGCCCTAGATGTGAATTTCATGAAAACAGCAATCCTGTACAGAAGCTGTAAACTGACTAAATATATTAAAGGTATTAATTGAAGTTTTCTTTATGGGCTTGGGGGGAGGATGGAGGGCTACGAATTAAAGAAATCAGAAAATTTTATCAACTGAACGTGGGTACATGTGCTTTCTTTGTGTCTTGCTGTAACATAAGTGGGATGTGGTGAAGGTGTGATCAGACGCTTTTATCCAGAGCGACGTACATCTGAGAGCAGATCACATTCACACACCGATGGCCACAGAGCTGCCCTGCAAGGTGCTGCCTGCCATCGGGTTCAGTGTCTTGCCCAGGGACACTTGGACTGTGGAGGGGATCAAACCACCGACCTTAGAGGACAAGCCCGGTCTACCACCTGAACCTCAGCTGCCCCGTTACACACCACTGTCTGTTCCTCAGACACAGGACATGAGACACTGCTGCCATCATCAGTCCGGGAAACTGACAGCAGTCTAGTAGGTCACTCCTCCGTTAAGGTTCCTCATGGCTGCATTCACATATAGCCCATATACCCTCCATAGAACCGGAGACAGCCGCCGTAGCTGTGATGTTCTTCATTCATTCACACTAGCCCATACACCCAGCCATGTAAAGCAAACCCGGACTGAAACAGAACCCAGAGCAGCTGATCAAAGAGGCTGAATTACTGACAGCCCAGTTCTTTACCAGTGAACCAGCTGCAGAACCACCTCAGAACCGCCTCAGTAGGCTGGAAACAGAACACGAACACCAGGAGGTTAACTGGATGTACAGTCCGGCTTTGTTTTATGTTTTGCAGATTGAGTGACACTTTAATAATGAAACAGGGTTTGAACATGTCTGGGTTTTCCACTTATACTTTACACATGAATCCAGACTGTCTCTGGTTCTTCACAGTGATACGACGCTTTATGAACATGCTACACATGTGGCTAAAGCTGGTTATCCCCACCAGAATCATCTGTTTCACTGCCATATGACATGATGTTTTCTCTTGCAGCTAAAGAAACGACTCATTACATACATGACATATCTTCCATCCTCCGTGTGTGCTGTTCAAACAGAGATTGTCTCACCAGTCTGTGCAAAGCGCCACACTGGTCCACAGCTAGAAGGACCAGAACACATAAGCTCTGTGCCTGACTATAATTACTTCTTGGAGTGTCGTCTGATCTCGCACCATGTGTGATCGAGCAGATCCTAATAATCAGGCGTGCCAGGAAGTTGGACACATAGAGACGAACTTGTATTTCAGTCCCTGGGAGATGTGGAGATTGGGATGCGAGACTGATAGCGTCTGTTCTGGGACTTCACAGTGGCACCTGCCATCGAATCCTCCGATTCGACAGCGAGGATCAGCAGTCGGCTTTAAACAGATTAGAGCCTCTGGGGGAGGGGAAATCCGCTGCCTCTAGCTGGCTCACAATTTATCAGTAATTAAAGTGGATGCCAGGTTTGTGTTTTCATTGGAGGTCTGTGGGGTGCTTTTATAGCCGTCCTCATTAAGGAGCTGCCTCCAAAAGTTTGCCCTCAATGCTCACTTTTAACAAGCCAGCAGGGATTTCTCCAGCATGTGATAGTATATGTATACACTAAATAGCATCAGTGTAGGACGGGTTCACAACACAACAGCTCTTCAGTTGAAGCATTTTAAATATGGAGCCAGTTTCTTTTGTTGTTTCCCATCAGGAACAATGCAAGGAAGGCAACACTTTGATTCAATCTGTGGACCATGTGGGAATACGTCACATGAACACGGATCACCGTGTTCAACAGATAACACGGAACGGGAACACGGAAGACATACAAGTGAAGTTAAAAAGCGTGACATGGATGATAGAGATGGCAGAAATGCTCCTACAAATAAAAGATGCTGTGATAGGATAGACCTGTTTGGACCATCCATCATCTCTACACCGTAATCCTCACTAGGGTCGTGGGAGGCGGAGTCTATCCCAGCTGACTCAGGGTGAAGGCAGGTTCACCTGGACAGGTAACCAGTCCATCACGGGGCTACACTTAGAAACAGACAACCAGCACGAGTTAGTTCCTGTTTAACTTATTAAGCACCCAGTCTGTCTGTATGAAGTCAAGCTTCAGTCCTGTCCTTGTTGAGCTATAATGTGGATAAAGAACATGTTTACATATTGACAGAAGCTCTGCCCATTGTAGTGTGTATAGCAGATGTCTTCCTGACCATTGTTCCTGTCAATTCATGACATTAAATACGTGAACAATGGGGTGCCCACGACTCAGTGGGTAAGACAACCACTGAGCTTCTTTTAAAGTGGTAACTATCCCAGATCATGTGTTTGTGGCACCACCTGCCCATAGTTAATGGACATAAACAGCATTGCCATGACACCATCAGTCTGCCTCCATAGTGACACACAACACATTAGTTTTATTACATTTACTACCTGGATCCTAAAATGCTGTAACTGATGAACTTGAAGCAGGATGAAGTAGCCACTGATGGAGGTTTCTTCAGGTTCTTCTACAGGAAGGACCAGAGTCAGCCTGTGGAGGCCCTGGTTGCTGCAGAACAGTCCTGGGTCTGTGGTGGGTGGGTCCATCTTTAAGCTCTGGTCTGGAGGATCGATGAGACCAACAGAAACTTGTATCATCTACAAGACTCAATAAAGTTTTATAATCTGATTAACACAGAGCATGAATAGATTATACATTACAGCTGCACAAATCACTGTGATGCTGTCGTGGTGGAGGATTTAACGAGGGTTGGATTGTGTACAGATCACCTGCTCGTGGTCTGGTGCTGTCAGCAACATGACAGGGAGCAGAACTTCTACTCCTGAGCACCCGTCACCTCTGCAGCAGATGTCTTCATGACACTCAGCGGTCATGGTGCTGCTGCAGATCCAAGCACTAGTCGGGAAACAGCTTGGAACCCTTCACAGTGGAAAAGGAGGAGATTTAATACCTTTTATTCATAGAACTAGGCCACTACTGCAGCCCACAGCTCTCTTTCTAAGCTGACTGTGACCATAAAGGACAAAGGTGACCACGGCCACAAAAGACTCTTCAGAAGAGTCTGTGGAGCCACCTGCAGTACCGAACCTCTTCACAGCGTTTTACATATTGACTGTGTTTCTGGTGAAGCTTCAGACTTGAGCTCAAAGTCAGAAAATAAATAAAGAAAATCCTCAGTCAGCATATCAAGATCCACAAACATGTTCCCAACAGGGTGAAGATGAGCTTCTATTATTCAGTCATTTATCTTCTTCACCTTCCTCTGATGGGTTTCTCAGCCTCTAGATGCTCTGATAGTTCACACAGTGTACCGCCATGTCAACAGAGCTGTGAAGCTGCAGCGTTCACAATGTGTTGGTAATGCTGATGTTCAGAAGGATGATGTTGGCCATATTCATCATCACCCAGGAGCCCAGGTCCATCCAGAGCCTAGCACCATGAATAAACAGAAGGTGATATCAACCAGGGGCCCACGTCCATCCAGAGCCTAGCACCATGAATAAACAGGAGTTGGTATCAACCAGGTGGGGCATGGCAGTAAAACCAACCAGCCACTCCTCCCCTGTCCATGGACTCCTGTACAGGTAGTCCTGTCGTGAGCTCCTCATTAACAGTTCTGGACTCCTGTCTCCTGATTAATGACGTCACTGCTGTCGCTCAGTTAGACCGGATCCGGTCGGTGCCGGCTACGGCAGTGGACTAATCAGCACTTTACTGATAAATTCATGTGATACTAAATGTATTTTCTAACATTAATAAATGAAAATGGGGGTTTTGGTTCCTTCCCACCATTGCTCAGAGGGAGTCCAAAGGCTGCTCTGGATTGTTGGGTTCTGTTTAAACCTGTGAGTTCTGAACCGGACCATGTTCAGGCTGTGAGATGACACATGTTGTAAACTGAGCCATACAAATAAAATGACTTGAATTGAAAACACTTTTT